GAAGACTTCCAGAAGTCCTTCAGAAAGTGTCAAGAATGATGGGATAAATGTGTTTGAAGTAAGGAAGAGTTTTCTGAGGGGGATTAGTGGCAGTGTAATAATTTTTTTTTTAATTTTGACAGACACTAGTTTTTGAGCATACTCTCTCTACATAGGCATGAAATTGCTGGGTAGTGGTAACTGTTTAGCATTATGAGGAACTGCCAAAGTGTTTTCCAGAACAGCTATACCATTTATATTCCCACTAGTGCTGTAAGAGGGTTCAGATTTCTCCAAAGCCCTGTGAACAAGTTACTTTCCATCTTTTCTATTATAGGCATCCTGCCCAGTGTGAAGTGGCTCATTGTGCTGCTGATTTGCATTTCCCTAATGATTAATGATCTTGAACATCCTTTCCTGTACTTATTGACCATTTGTTTGTCTTCTTTAGAGAAATGTCTGTTCAGATCCTTTGCCCATTTGTTAATTGGATTGGCTTCCTAGCATTGAGTTAAGAGTTTTTATAGATTGTCTGAGTATTAGACCCTTATCAGATAGACAATTTGCAAATATATTCTCCTATTCTTTGGTTGTCTTTTTATGATTTATAATGTTTTTTGAAGCACATAACTTTTTAATTTGGATGAAGTCCAATTTATCTAGTCTTAGTTTGGTCACCTGTGCATATTTTGAGTAAACATGATGATTATATATTTTTTCATGTGAAGTACCCAGTAATCTAGTACTTTCTTCTTACTTTCAAACATGACAATAACTTTTATACGCCTACATTTTTCATTGAACTTCCAATCTTGACATTGTTGAGATTGCTTCACTTTTAACATAAAAAAATAGTAAATAACAAAAGCAATCAGTAGTTAATTCAATTTATTAAAATATTTTGTCAGTCTTAGCTCATCATTGTGCTTAATATTTCATCTCTTCTGTTGTTCAAATATATTCTTAATAATTCTTTGTAGTGAAAATTTTGGAGTGTCCTTAGTTTTTATATTTCTAAACATGTCTTTATTTTGCCCTCAAATTTAAATGACAATTTAGGTATAAACTTTTAGGGTCCTAGTTATTATCCTGAAGATTTTGAAAGTGTTACTTTGATTCTGTCTTGCTGGGACGCCTGCTCTCTGTCTAATTGTCAATCTTTTGTAATGTTTTCACCACACTCTTTTAAAGGCTCTTCTCTTTCTCTTTGATGTTACCACTTCATTATGTAACAGTGTGGGATAGATTTTGTTTCCTACTTAGTGCTTTTTATCTGAAGACTTTCTTCTTTCTTTTTGAAGAAGTCTCCATTATTCATTCTTCAAATTCTTTTCACTGCTGTTTTCTTCTTTCTTCTTTTCTCCTCTTAAACATCTGCTGATAGTTCATCTATCCTCTGGGCTCTTTGAACCATTTGTTCATACTGCCTGTGTCTGCGTCTCTGTGTTATCTTCAGATTCATTTCCTTGATTCTACCTATAAATTTACCAATTTTTTAAAACTAATGTCCAGTCTAGAATTTATCCCATTTATTGAGAGTGTTTTTAATTCTAAAATTTAATGGGTTTATCTTTTATGAGCACTAATTATCACTGCCTGCTATTCTCATGCAATATATGCCTGTTTTGTTTCATAACATCTTTTTGCAGACATTGATCTTTTATTAAGGACTCTTATATTTTAAATACTTATCAGGGAGTTTTATGTAATTTCAGCCTTTCCATTTTGAGGACGAAATACCCAACACCTGCAATTTAAAGCAGGAGAGGTTTATTTTGGCTTATGGTTTCCAAAGAAGGCATTCCATAGTCATTTGGCTCCAAGGCAGAAATGGCATGGTGGAAGGGCACAGGGGCAGAAAGCTGCTCACCTCATGGCAGCCCGGAAGCAGAGAGACATGACAGTCAGGGACCAGAATGCACCCTATGAGCCATGTTCTCTGTGACCCACCTCCAGCCAGGCCCCACTTCCTTAACAGCACATTTAGCCATGAACTCATGAATGGATTAATCCATTGATGAGTATATAACCCCCAAGATCCAGTCATCTTCCAAAAGCCCCACCTCTAAATATATGAAACTTTTGGTGGGTATTCTAGATCTAAATAGTAACATGGATTAAACATTTGCTCCTGAGGGAAGAATTTATGGGCTGTGTTAGTATGTGAGTTCTTCGTGTGTGATAGAATTTTTTTTATTGCAGGTTCAATTTGAGTTATTTCGTATTTGTTTTTCCCTCACTTTTTCTCTCTTGACTGACTTCTCCTTGCCCAGTACCCTTGGTTACCTCCACCCACACCCCCATGTCTTCATAATAGTAGTTCAGAGTCCCACAATAACATCAAGAAGATGTGTGTCAGTTCCTAAGTGTGAGCCTGTGTCTGTCCTTCCTTATAGATTCTGAGCTTGAAACAAGCCCCACCCCAGTGATATGCCTGAGACACCTTCCACCAATTCATTAGAACCGCTATTAATTGTGCATATGTATATATGTGTGTTCTGAGTGTTGAACATGGGGCCTCATGCATGTTAAGCATATGCTGTACCACTGAGCTACACCCTAGCCCCATGATTATTAGATTTTAAGGAATTTTGTCTCAGGCTTTTTTTTTTTGGTACCAGGGATCGAACTCGGGACCTTGCACTTGCAAAGCAGGCAACGGAACCACTGAGCTAAATCCCCAGCCCTATTTTAAGGAATTTTGTAAAGTGGTTGTTAAATAGATTTTTTTTTTTGGTACCGGGGATCAAACTCAGGACCTTGTACTTGCAAGGCAGGCGGCAGAACCATTGAGCTAAATCCCCAGCAAATAGATGTTATTTTTAAAAATTTAATTATGTAAGTTCTCCATCAAATTACAGTTAGCCTTCAGTCCTTAACCAACAGCAGATCAAAAAATATTTTTCATAAAAATTGCATCTATACTAAACATGTACAGACTCATTTTTTCTTGTCATTATCCCCTAAACAATACAGTAAAACAACTGTTTGCATAGTACTGGGTATAATAAGTATCCTGGAGATTATTTAAAGTACACAGGAGGATGTATGTAGGTTACATGCAAATAATATGCCAGTTTTTATAAGGGACTTGAGCATCTTAGATTTTAGTATCCACTGGGGGTTCCTGGAACCAGTCTCCCGTGGATATAAAAGAATGATGATACTAAATAACAAAGGTAATAAACGCTCAGAATTTCCCACACTCTAATGTTTTCACCTGTGACTATTACCTATGGCTGTGACTATGATGACTATGATCTCTGCTCCCAAGGTTGCTCACAGCTTCTGCACCTGTACAGTGGAAACACTGTGTCAGGGGGCACTACTGAGCATCTCTTCCCATGACTGGTCCAGTGGCATCACACTGGCAACTTGACATGAACCATGTCAGGAGTATTTACACCGTGGAAATCAGTAGACATTGCTAACTGGGTTTTTTTTAATCATTACTATTCATAGTTTGTCAAACATTGACCAGCACACATGTCTTAGTTATTTTCTCAGCACTGAAACACAATGCCCAATACCCACAGTTAAAGGAGGAAAGGTTTATTTTGGCTCACAGTTTATAGAGGTTTCAGTCCATAATCAGGTGGCTCCAAGGCAGGGCGGCAGGGCAGAAGGGCATCACAGAGGAGGGTTGCTTTGGGTGTGACAGACAAGAAGCAGAGACGGATCAAGGGAGGAGAGCAGGATATACAGTCCTTCCAAGGCAGTGACTCACCTCCTCAGACCAGGTTCCACCTGCCAATGTCACTTTTGGCTGTACTGTAATCCACTGATGAGCATCACCCCCCCCTTCATCCAATTGCCTCCCAGAAGCCCCACCTGTGAGTGCATGAGGCTGGCTGGCAGGGGGCGCATCTAGACATAAAGCATAACACCACCCTTGGCCCCGCCCTGGCAGCTGCCGTATCCTTCACCTCCCTCCCATAAACAGAGGCCCCATACATGCCCAGTTCCAACAGAGCCACATGGCCTTCCTCATCTCTTGAGTGTGCTTTAGTTTGCAGTCTGCAGGAGCTTCACTCCAGCAACATTTTGATCCCACTCATAACTTTACTTTTCTCTTTTGTTTCTGCCCCATAGAGCTATTTATTTTGATGTTGCACCTACTTACATCTTTTAGTTTTCTTACATTTTATCTATTAGGGCTGTAAGTTTGGAGTAGCAGAGAGACTTTAAGTGTGAACATACTCTGCTCTCTCAGTTAGAACATCATAAACTTTGTTTATTTATTTGTTCATTTATTTGCAGTATTTTCTCGTCACTGAGACACAATACCTGACACAATGTAAAGGAGGAAAAGTTTATATCAGCTCACAGTTTGCAGAGGTTTCAGTTCTTAGTCACATGGCTTCAAGGCGGAGTGGCATGGCAGAGGAGAAGCAGCTCATGGCATGGTAGTAGAGAACCAGAAATAGTATGAAGGCAGGAGCGGAAAGAGATAAGCCCTTCCAGGTCACGCTTCCAGCCCCAAATGACCCCTCTCTTCAGACCAAACCCTACCTCCTAACAACAAGTCAGCTATATGCCCTCATAGTCCAGTCACCTTCCAAAAGCCCCAGCTATGAGCACATGAGGTTTGGGGGGACATTTTAATCTAAACCATAACAGGATTGAACCCAAGGCCTTATAAATGCTAGGCAAGCTCTCTACCACCAAACTATGCCCATAAACATTACTTTTTTACACATATAGCTTCCACCATGTAGATGTTTATGCAGGCTTCAAAATGCTTTCTTCATTCTCCTTTAACTCTTCCAAAGTCATTTTCTGTATCATTCTTCACTCATCTTGTTTCCTGGTACCTTCTTGTACTAGTTATGACAAATGTGTTAATAATACAGAGTTATCTTTAAAAAGGGTCTAGATGTCACATATGTCACCTACCTTCTTTTTTCATGCACACAAAATAATATGCATTTAAAATAATAATATGGTATTGTTCACAGAATAAAGCATGGGAGCCCTAGGTGACCCCCCCACACCCTAATGTCTTTTTCCCTTCCCTGTAGGTGTCAGAGCTGTGTTCTCAGGCCACTACCATAGGAACGCCGGGGGCACCTACCAAAACCTGGACATGGTGGTGTCTTCTGCCATTGGATGCCAGTTGGGCAAAGACACCCATGGGCTCCGAGTCGTGGTTGTCACTGCTGAGAAAATCATTCATCGGTACTACAGTCTAGATGAGCTAAGCAAGAAGGGAATAGAAGATGATCTAATGGAGCTAATGAAGAAGGAATGATTGCCCTTTGTGATCTGTTCACTTTTCACTTCCAGTTTTTTATTTTGCCAGAAACAGCAGCAGCACACAACCCTTTGTTGAAATGTAAGAGTAGACTGGGCAGTTTTGTGAATTTACATCCTTTTGCATAAATCATATCCTAAATTATATTCACAATAGAACTGCCACACAGAAAGCCTGGAATAATTTTCTAATTATTACAATATTAGACTATCTCTGCATGAATGTTTGCGAAAATTCTAATGGTGCATTTCTCAACTCAGCTCTCAAATTACATTCTTTCTGGCAGCATATGATCAATGTCTACCTATCGACCTCAGTCCCAGCTTGATATCCAAGTGTGATCTTTGATAATTCATTGAACAAACTGCATCTGATTATATTAAATTGTGGTCATGACTCCTAAAATGTTAACAAAACAAAGGTCATCTCCTTTCCTTTTTACCAAAACAAATAGCTGTCTCTCGATCTTACCAGAGCCATGTAGACTTACTTTAACAAAGATCCAAGTAGCTACCATTTGCTGTTAAATTCTGAAGTGTCAGTTATTGCTCATACTGGGAACAGAATACACTTGATACAGCTCAGAATTTGAATTTGCCTTCCTGACAACCACAAAAGTTACCTTTGCACAAAAATTGTCTGTTTATGAAAATCTCACCCAGAAGACTGGAATCAGGCCGTGAGACATGGGGTGGAAAGTCACTCTGCAGCCCAGTTTGTTCATCCCATTCTTCTGGTCCTAGGATCCGTCAACAGCCGGGATTCTTGTGGGGTCAGAATGCCCTTTTGTTTACCAGCCTCAAAACGGCACCAGCTTCAACAAAAAAAGTGGGAATTGATGCAGACTTCTCAACAAAAACAAAGCAGATTCTGGTGGGACCAAAACAGGCTTTCAGGCACACGAACCTGACACCAAAATGCATGAGTACAGTATCCCTTGGGATACTGTTATTTAGAGCTGGCATTGTTTTTATATAATATGCTTTGCTGCATCTCTCAGCAGCTCCTGGCTCTGGTGTGCTTTTATCCATGTAATTTGTTTGCATGCTTTCTTGTTTGTTTCTTTTGTGAGGATTGAACCCAAGGAATCATAACCTATATCCCCAGCCCTTTTATTTGACAAGGTCTTACTAGTTACCCAGGATGTCCTTGGGCTTGCAATTCTCCCACCTCATCCTCCCACGTTGCTGGGATTACAGACTGCACCACCATACCAGCCAATTCATGTAGTCTTTTCACAGATCATCCTGGTGAATGAGTTACCAGGTACTCCAAATTCTGGCAGAAAAATTTTGCATATAATTATTTTGCATATTATTATGTAATAATATTCACTAAGCCTAAACCAACTTTTAAAAACTGACTGGTTACAAATGAACTGCAGAGTCCATTAAGTTAAAAGGCTTTCTTGTTAAAGAGTTTTAGTCAATGTAGCAAAACCATGGGAAATTAAATAGAAAGATAATTGGATATGTAAATTCATAAGGAACAAAAGACAAGGAGTTAATTATACTACAGATTGGTGACACACCATTGTTCATTATATGCAAAATAAATTTAAAAATTTTCAAACTAGAATGCCTTTTTGGTGCTTTGCTGCAATCTTGTTTGGTGTTCATTTTTCTTTACAACAGATTTGGATATAAGAGGTCAAAAGGGCATAACTAATGAGCCACTGGAGATGTGGAAGGTTGTGACCCTGGAACCATGAAGACACGGGCTCTGACTCCACAGTGGGGAACTCTCAAGAGGGAAATGGGCAGAGTTTAATCACAGAGGACTGAAGAAGGTGCTCTCTTTGTCATGTTCAGTGTACAAAATTGGGCAAGAATATGGGGATTATTAAAAGTAATGGGAATGAAACTAAGTAAATCCTTTTCTCACAAAATCCTAGTAAGTCAAAAATTTATTTGAAATACCCCAAAAATATGCTAAGAAAAAGGAATCAGGAAATTCCCACAATTTTTAAAGTAACAAAACAGCTGTGAGAGGTTCAAAACAACAGTTAGAGATTCAGAATAAAGTTGGAAAATTATTCTAAGGACCAGGAAATAGGTTCATGTATCATTCAGATAAAAGATCAGTATTAGTGCATTTACTTATGATCCAAAAAAAAATCAAACATAAGTGCCTTAATACTGTGAAAAACAATAAAAGACGTCATGAGTACATTGCTATGGTTTTGAGTGTTTTGTGTGTCTCAAGTGATTTGGCTCAGAAAGGTGGAGGCATGTGGCCAAGGTCACCCCGTTCCTCAGTGAGAATGCAAGTGTCAGGGTGCAGGAAGTCTCAAGCCCCTGCTTCTGAACACTACCCTGTCTTTCTTGGAACTGCTTTTCAGAGCTGAAAGTTTGGCCCGGCTCAGCTGCGGCAACACAGAAGTGTTCAGCATCTGTGACCACCTTGCCTGGGAGAACGTTCTGTGTTGACTGGAAGCCCTGGGATCTCATCCTGGGATGCACAAAGCCTAGGCAAGGCCCAGGAGCTCCTTCCCTGATCGTAGCCAATCCAGGGTGATGCAGTCTGAAGAAGAAGCAAGTTGTTCTAGACAGAATTTTCACTGGAGACTGAGAAACTGAACTGAACCACAATGGCTCACAAAACACAGCTTTACCTACAGTGGTACATCCATTCTTCACTCCCTGCAGTGGTTTTGACTTGTCCCCAGAAGATGCATAGTCCCCAATTTAGTGATGTGAAAAATGCAGTGAGACCTTTAGAAGGCAGAGCCTAGTGGGAGGCCCTTAGGTCCATTCGATGTATACCCTCGGAAGGGAATAGTGTGGTCCTTCTTGGGGCCCCAGTTGCTTTCTGGTTTCCTGTCTTGTGATAGGATCTCTCCCTCTTCCACATGCTGTGGCCATTACGACACCATCTGCCATGACTCCTTCACCAGAGCCAACATTCTTCCAAGATGATGCCTGTACCATGCTCTTGGGCCCCCAGGACTGTGAGATAAGTAAACTCTTTATTTTATATAAACTACTTGACCTCAAGTATTTCATTATAGTAGATGGAAAACAGACTACTGCACTCCTTGTTTTAGAACTCCAGCCCCAGTGTGTAAGAAACATTGGCTCCTCCACCCAAACAATTAATTGTTTAAAAAAAAAAGTTGCTAAAGGGGGAAGATTCTTTAAAGTAATCTTACATTAGATTGCCAAGGCTCAAAATAGTTGTGAGCGAGGTTAGCATGATGATCATTCAACTGTGTTTACTTTTTACAAAATAAATTTATCTTGAATCTTCAGTCATGTCTCTGGGAAGAACAAGGCCATCAGAACATTTTGTCATATTGTGTGGTTTTCAGCATTATGAGATTATGAGTTATCAACAGAATTGCAAAGTGAACACTAGTTTTAAGTCTGAATAAATGAATAGGACCATGTTGCCTATGTACTTGTAAAAGATACTGAGATGTAGGATGTGTGTACATTATGTATATACACGTAATACAATTTGATATTATAGCTTATATTCTAATGCAAAATCTTTGGAGAAAAGGTAGTAAAAGCATCATTTGTATTTACTTGAACTCTTCATACTTATTCTCTAACACCTCACACAACTCTGCAGTCACAAAAAATTAAGCAGCAATATTGTATTGAACTGGGAGTGGGGAGGAAGGCTGAGGAATACATTGTCAAGGCAAGTTCTATTAAAAGCTTTCCATAATAGACACCAGGGATTTCTTACACAGATAACCTTAGCGGTTTTGATTGCACATGCAAGAAATAGTGCTTGACAGGTAGTATTTTTTATAACTTCGTAAAATACTGTCCTGTGCCATTGGAGAGTTTGTGTGTGTGAATACATGCTTATATTAAAATGGGGAATTCTTTTTTGGAATAATAATGACTTCTGGCATTTTTCTAGAAAATATTTTATTGAGTAAATTCTCTTTTTCTCCCAGTGGATTTTATTTCTTTTTTTTTTTTTAGCATCAGTGACAGTACACACACATACATACATACAAATTGGATTTTGTCTTTAGATTTTATCTGTGCAAAGGATTTTGATTGAATAATTATGTCACCCTTCATTCTGTTCTGACAGCTGTCTTTAGAAAGTAAGCTTTTTCATGTTTGATGTTCTGTATCACACTTAACGTCCTTGCTGTGAGTCCGTTCCCCATGCCCACCTCTCAAGCCTCCTTGCATGCCATCCTTGCTGGCCATTCCAGAGAGCTGCATTTGCACTTGCTGTTTCCTCTGCTAAGCATTGATTTCTTGTCATCATTTTGGTCTCAGCTCACAGATCACACTTCCCCGTATCACACAACCAGAGTTCCTCCTTGTCTCCTGACATTGCATTCCCATTGACATTGACATTCACTCCTGGGTGTTATTTTCATAGGACATCACTAAGAAATGTGCCAGTTTAATGGTCTTTAAATGTAACCTCTACCAGGTTACAGGCATCCACCACTTCATTCCCGATGCCACTGTGTGCCTGAGGACATAGAGTGGCTGCTCACAGAACTCTTGGCAACAGTTGTGGAGTGAGTAAACATATGGCAGTGGAAGTCATATACTGATTATCAATATCAACCCGCAACATCAGGAAGGAAAGGAGACCATATACCTAAGCCATTGGTATAGGCTGAGAATCCGTTATCTGAAATGCTTGCTATCACAAGTGCTTCAGATTTCTGTCGGGAGCAATGCTACATAATTTTGGGTAAAGATCATTTGATTAGGCCTAGTTTTCCTGCCTACAGGCCAGCTATGGCATTTTGAGACAGTTCCATTTTAGCCTCTGGTCACAGCTGAGACCTCAATGATTCAGTGATGGTGTGATGCTCCAGGACAAGATTACACCAGTGGAAGGCATCCTGGGAGGAACAAAATCTTCATCTCCATAGTTCCTCATTGATCTAGGAATTCCACTGCCCCCCAGTCATCTGTTACATTTGTTTCTCCTGATGCACTGAACTCTGTTCCATGTACTGAACTCTCTGTCAGGAGTCATCTGTTACATCTGTTTCTCCTGATGCACTGAATAAAAGGTGTGGTAAGTTGGGGTCTTTCATCTTTGCCGCCCAAAGCAGCATTGATCAGGCCCAAAGCTCAGCTTCTTCTCAAAGTCTCATTTTTCTACCTTTCCTCTATAATAAATTAATTTGCTTTGTGTTGTCGCGGCTCACAGGAGACCAGGACTTACTGCAGAGGTCCTAGTAACGTCCCCTTTCCCTGTTCCCTACAGATTTCCATTTCTTTCAGATTCTGGAATATTTGCTTTACTTGTCGAGTATCACTAATCCAAAAGTCCACACTTTGAAATTTCAGATTTTGGAGCATTTTGACTTTGGGATTTTCAAGTTAGGAATGTGCAACCTGTAGTTCTTTTGGAATGGTCATCAAAGTTAAGTATTATCAACAGGTCAGTAAATAATAGCGACATCACTGTTATCTTTGTGTTTTGGCTGACAGTGAAGAAATTTGGGGGAAATAATATAAGTGTCCTGATATCTAGTAATTCTAAGCTTGCTTCACTGAATGAGTGCCATGTAGTAACCAAGCAAGGTGAGCTAGAGAAGGGGCCAATTTGCACTGAAGGTTGCAGGTAGGGTACTCAGAGGTTGCATCAATGAAGCAGGTTCCCGAGAAAGATAGCAGCACTGCAAAAGACCTAAGGGCAGAACCAGAACCTTAACACGGGGCTCTATGAAACACCTTTGTTTAAGCGAGGGAAGAGAAAGATGGAAGACAGGAAGGAATGAAGAAGGATCTTGGGAAACCTCCCTCCAGAGCACACTAAGGAATTGACTGCAAGTGGAGTTCAGTAGTTTACAGCCCCCTGCAGGTAACTATAAACTCTAAAAAAAACTACTTAGTAATTCAGAGAGTAAACAAAAACTTAGAGAATAATGCTGCAGTGAACATGGGTGTGCAAATGTCTGAGAGACGGTGGCAACTTAAGTGTTCATCCATGGACAAATGGATAAATAATCAGTTGTATACAGAGATACAGAGTGAGGTACATATCCATATGTGTGTTTGCATGTATGTGTAGACACATACATATATATTCATTAAAAACCAAAATGTAGCCTTTAAAATAAAGGCGATCTTGCCATTTGCCACAATCGAGAGAACATTATGCTAAGAGAAGCCAGACACAGAAAGAAAAATATTGCATGATCTCACTTATATATGAAATATAAAAAAATTAAAAGGTCAAATATACAGAGATACAGAATAAAACAGTAGTTGCCAGAGTTGGGGGAGAGATGAGTAGGTCACTGTATACAAAGAAACAAATATATAGAAGAAATAGGTCAAAAGATCTAATGTACAAACAAGACCACAGTTATAGAGTATTGTGTTGAGGGCTTTTGCTAAATGGGCATATTATTGCTGTCTACCACTGGAAGGAAAATAGTAACTATATGAGTTGATGGATATGTTAATTTGTTCCATCATAGTAAGAAAAATGTATATAATGTTGTATACCTTAAATATCACAATATATTTTAAAAGTAAATTTTAAAAGTTAAATTAAAAGTTAAAGAAGTATTAGCATGAAAGTGAGTTGCCCTCCTTCCCCTTCTACTTCTTTGTCCTGAAGGCAAACCACAGTATAGCACATCAAGGACAAATAATGTTGTTAGTAAAAACTTGCCATCACATACCAGATAAACCAGAGGAAGGAGCCGGGGTCACAGGACAGTGAGGAATCCTAGCAGAGAGGGCGCTGAAGATAGAAATCCCCTGATTTTATGTGTGAACTTCACAGGCCTCTGCCTGCCCCAAAGCATGCATAACAGAACAGCAAAAGTTTAAAGAAATGAACTGAGATTGGACCACTGCCCAGGGCAAGCAACAGACACAGTTTGAGTCTAATCAAGTTAATTGCCTGCTACAGCAAAAACCCCAACATCCTTCAGAAGAATATAACAGAATCCAGATTCTATTCAACATAGCTTTCATAGTGTTCTTTAAGATACAGTCCCAAATTGGTTGATATAAAAAAGGAAAGATAATGTAAGTCACTCTTAAAATAAAAGATAACCCCAGAATGTTGAAATAAACATTCTAGGGCAGAAAAGCAGCTATTATAATAGTTCTGAGTTTGTTAAAGTAAAATATAATCAAAATAGAAGAGCTCATCTGAGAAATAGAACATATAAAAAATCAAATAGTAATTTCAAAACTGGAAAAAAATACAA